TTGCCTTGTGTCAGGAGCACAGACTGGAGCACAGAACGAAGCACATTGCTCTGCGATACTTCCTTGCTTGAGAGTTGCTAAGCGTGGCCAGCTTCGTCTTGCGTACGTGGCCACTAGGGCCAACACTGCTGATATATTCACCAAGGCACTTCCGCCTGGTGATCATCAGCGCTTCTCTACTGTGTTAGGCCTTGTGCCTACTTTGCCTCACTTGCTTACTGCTTGACTCTGCTTGTACTATGATCAATATATATACCTGCATGCTTACACTTATGATTACTGTATTATTTGTTCTCTTTTACATAACTCTGCATGTGAACTGGCCTTGTGGCCCTTTGCTTGTGCTCGAACTGTGTGGTGACTTTGTGATCCACCCTGAGCTTGCTTTGGTTTTCTTGACTGGTCTTGTGACCACTTGTTCTCCCCCACTTTGCCTATGGGGGTGTTTCAAACTTATATATAGCTTATATTTGTGTAGGCTGTAGTGGGGTAGCCCATAAGGGGTACAACCCAAGTAGGGTTAGTACTTGTACCCAACTCTTTGCTAGTTCATTCATTCTCGTTCGTAACTTTGACAGTTCGACACATGCGACTGGAGTGTGTTGTCGTCAACATGCTCCAGTCCGCATGCCTCGCACGCGTTGCCCAGCATTGCTAGAGCTTGTGCTAACCCTACCTTCTACCTACCGATAAGGCTGTTCGTCCATCGGACGGCGCAATATGTGTCTGAATGTTTGCAACTGTTGCAGGTCTCTCCCAGCTCGGTTCCAGCGTATTTATCGCCGGTATAAACGAGGGGTGTCCATATGACATTTGGCACATCAGTTGACCTCGTTGATTGAAACTAAAGCACGGTGTGTAGCGGTCAATTTAACGCCGGGCCCGGTATCAGTATGCCCTGCGAGCCGTACATGTACTGTACTTTCCACTCAGTTGCTAAGTTCTACTTATGATCTTGTGTTTAGCCCACCATTCGTTCTCTCCAACTGTGGCCTTATATGTTTGCTATGGAACAAACCCGCTAAAAGTATCACTCACTCCTTCATTCCGGTTATAGTACTAGCCACGGAATGTAAGTCCCTGGTCGGGGGTCAATGTACACTGGTCTCATCCGGGCCACTCATCCTAGCTGTTCCCCCTCCACGCGGTCGATAGTGGTGCCATCTGTCCGAATGACGATACTCCATGTGTCCATGTCACGTACGCAAGTTCACAACGGTGGTTAGGGTATTGATTACATGGCGGATAACGTCCGCGTGGGTAATGGCACTGTCCGTCATTAGAGCCCGTTAATCCGTCTCGCTTCCTTCTGTTATAACAAGCGCACCACATTTGCAAAGCGCTCATTCCCGCCACCATGGCTGAAATGGCCCTTTTGCTCGAGGAGATATAGGCTCACCCTCAGGACGTGTTCTGCTTTGTGGAAGAAGCCATCCTGCCCACCAAGCTGCCCTTCCGTGATTCTGGTGATGGCCGAGTCGACCCGCGTCCCGACTGGCACCTCAACATTGGCTTTCTTTTCAATGCTGCCGGCACCGTCATGTGTCCGCCGCTGGTAATGTTTCGCCTAGAAAACGAGCTTGCGCAGGGCATAGAAAACCCGGCCGGTCATCCCGTCTTCGTCCGCCACACCATCGACGAAATAGTCACCCCCGAGGTGCGTACTGTCATGCTTTATCTTGAGAACCAATGGCTACACCTTTTTACGACCGCTGTGACACCCCTACTGACTATACTTCGCACTCGTTGTCTTGCTCCTCATGCAGATATTCAGCGAGTACCTGGAAGTGTTGAACGGCGTCTCATACTCCACGGAAGACCACGTCATTGTCCTTGTAACGAAGGACTCCCACGCTACGACTGACATTTCCGCGATGGAAACGACGGAACATGGTTTCCGCGTGCAGAACTTGAGCAACCTCCGTATCGTTCACATGCACGGCACTGTGCCACGGTGCATCCATCCTGGTCTGTGTGGGATCGTGGAGTTGTGGAGGACGCTTTATTGTGGATGTTACCTACGACATTTGATGCAGACTCCTGAGTGGCGCGACGGCTCTGAGTTCCTGCTCCCGCCCCTGTTACACATGATTCGATGGATGGGGGCCTCGTGGTCAGAAGCCACGCCTGCGACGGTCCATCTTAGCTGGTGGCGCGCTGGATGTGTGCCAGCATCATGGCGACTCGCCATCCGCGCGTACAAGAACCCAGCACTTAGCGTCCTGTCTGAACCACTGGTGTTGGAGCTGGGTCAGCTGCAGTGGCTAATAGACGAGTTCAGGCCTCGGGGCGAAGGCCTCATGCATGCTACTGATTTTTCCCATTGCGAGCAGCTCCTTATACCCCCACGCGTTGAGCGTGTCGGTAACGAGATGCCCGCCTCTGTGGAAGACCCCGTCATAACACTGAACACTCATCCTGGCCCGCTAATCAGTGACAGTCGTTGTCGCAGGCGCGTAGCACGCGTGGTCTCCAAACTACTTGTTCGTCATGCCATCTCTCTCGGCATACAAGTGCGCGACGCGCCTGAATGGTTTGGTGCGTCGAACGCCGAAGTGGTTAGTCGTCTTCGCCGTACTCCTATTAAGCATCCCCGAAAGTCAGCTGCGACGGTCATCTAAGAACGTCGATGTCGCTGGGTGCTTGACATGATGCGGTAAGATGCGCACGCAAAGTACGATAGCTAGTTAATGTGCTATCACTAGTGTTCCATGAATCATGTATTGGAGTGTGTTTAACCTTTGTTCAGCATGCGGCAGTACGATTGTGAAGGACCTCTCCAGAGTATTATTCGGAAACATCTCGTTCAGCACTGCGAGTCTCATATTTAAACATTATACAGGGACTATGTAATACGTAAATTCGTGGATAGGGTTTGGTGGCCACACAGGCACCCGGAACCATTCTTCCGCTTTCAAACACAACATCTTCATATGATGGCATGCAGCCGTAGGTATGCCAACGCACTATATTTCGTGTTTATCATCTGGCGTGCAGTACCGCGTACGTCACATCACATCGCATAACCACACCATCGTTTACAATGAACAAATGACGAGTGCAGTTTTAGCATGACACGTGTGACGCCCGGACGGAGCTGGTTTTCCGCGCCAAAACGTCGAATCTGGATTTGGCGCGCAGTGTGACTCACTGGTTGCCATGTACATCTTTTGAGTTCCTGTCAACACACAGACACAACCGTCTGCGCGCACTCCCGTGTCTAGTATATTCTTCCGTTTGTCCATGCGGAGCTCATTTGAGGTTTCAGCGGCGGATCTATCCGCCTCTTAGCGGCATGAGTCCTGTTAGCGTGCACGGTTTCTCCTTCTCCAAGCAGCTTAGTTAGCGTCATAGCCTGCAAGGGCACACGATGAACATACAGCATATGCTCGTGTAGAGAGGCAACTCTTCCAGTGCCGCAAGTACCCTGACAACTGTGAAGACGTCTGGAGTGCGTCGTCAGCGCAAAGTGAAGAACGAGCCCCATGCTGAGCGAAGGGTATAAGCGGCGGCCAGCGGCGTAACTGTTTCTGGATCAGCGACACCACCGCCACCGGATGACGTTGTTTCTCACCTGAGGAACCCCAACTATCAGCGCGCTTTTCAGACGTTGGTGCTGTACGGTCCCCATGGAGTGGGATGTCAGTTGACTGCCCAAGACGCTCTCACCCTCGCGGACGGCGAGTGTCTGGCGGACACCGTTGTAGACTTCCACAACATGTGAGTGTTCCAAGAACTGCACGACTGCATGGTTACTAACTGGATTTTGCCGTCACTGATTACGCGACTCACACGGGCGTTTTTTATTTCAGCCTTCTTAACATTCGTCATCCGACGCTCGAGGGTGGAAAGACATGGTTCGCTCTTGATATGAAGGCCTTCGTTTACGCGACATCACTGAACAAGGCGTGGCCGCTTGGGCATGCACCATGTATCTTCGCGCAGGATTACCTTGCCATCCCTGTCTATTACGAGTAAGTATTGGTTGGAGTACCGTGGTATAAATATTACGGTTGTGATGATGCTTAAAAAAAGTCCTGATGCACGACTCTAATTATGTCCGTTTTTAATATGTATCAGGGGCCACTACTCCCTTGTGATCGCCATGAACCTTGCCGGCATGGTCAGTGGCAAGCTTTCTGAGACAGTAGAGGACAACGTTCAGCTGGTGCATTACGATAGCGCGTCGTTGCACACCAAGAAGCCGGAAGTTATGGAAGGCGTCAAGAAGTGAGACATGCTCACGTTGTTTGTTGTCATTGTGGTAGTTATAGTATTAACTGTTCTAACATCCTAACCGTCAACGATCTATGCAGGATGTTGCTTATGCTTCATACAGCTCAGATGCCCACTGCTGACCGGAAGAAGGCCGCGAACAGCCTGGACCGTGCCGAAATCACGATCATGCATATGAGTACAGCGTACATGCTGATGGAGCTATGTGCCTTCTAGTGTGCGTACGTGTGCTCACGTTCCATCTTACGCTCGGTGTATGTGCCGTTTGGCAGCCTGAAGAAATCTCGACCCAGTCGAACTCTGTCGACTGTGGGATATACGTGCGCATGAATCTTCACGCGCTGGTGTCGTCCGGCTTCACTATCATCAAGCGGTGGATGACGTTCTACGGAAAGAAGTCGCATACCTACAGGCGGCAGTTACGGGAGGAAGTGTCGCTGCACTCCACGGGTGACCTTGTGGTCAGGCTTTTTGGGGAGGGCGTAGAGGTTCCTTTGCAGCCACTTCCCCAGTTGGGTGAGTTTGGGGCCCTAGTGTTTCCCAAGGAAGACGAAGTGCGTACCGACCTGGCAAGGCAGCCCGGCATGGTAACCCAGATGGAGCTTGGGGGTTACGTGGTATGCGCGGCGGTAACAAGCCTGACACGCGCGTGTGGGATATTGGCGGAGCAGCTGCTGAGCGGTACAGCCCACGAGCTCCAGACCTACGGGACTCCTCTACTGTCGTTGTCAACGTCACATAACCAGGTGGATCACGCGGCATCGATGAAGACGCTCGCCAGCTCCATCCATGCTACACCATGCCCGTTGCCGGTGCCATCGTCATTTCGGGCTAAAGTCAATGTTGCCTCTCCTGGTCAAAGGCCCGAGTCACCACCTCAAGCCGTGCCCACGAAGGAGGAATCCTGCTTCAAGCCGGTGGACTGGGGTGAGCTGGTGTCCTCGTGGCCGTAAGTGGGGGGTGAAGATGGTGTGCGGACCCGGTACGGGACAACAGATCAGACTTGGTGCGTACAACGTGGAGGACGATGCGGCATATGCCTATGCCGCGGCTGCGTACGTGATCCAGCGCAAGGATCACATCCCGCACATGAAGGTGCTGACTGATACAGAGATGGCAGCGCTGGATGGGTGTGTCAGATCAGATGTGAGGCACCTTGTGAAGGCTCGTCTGTGGTGGAGGTGGCGTCAGTGGAGGACAGCAATGGCAGAAGTGGGCATTGCACCCAGGACTCCCTTCCCTCTCGAAAATGGAGGTTCCCGCTCGCCTGCTATCAGCATTGGTGATGACGAAGGGGAGTACCCGCTGACACTGAAGGAGGATGCCGCTGACGAGGAGATGCAGGAGCCAGAGCTGGGGTAGGAGCGTCACTTATTCCACTCGCTCTGTGCAGGCGTACGCATGAACTGCTATATGATCTCATGGTGGATAGGATCCTTGGCGTCTAGCTTGTTTGTTGTGAGTGAAAAACGTTTGAGCAATGCTAGTGGTTGTATTTGTCAAACTTATATGCTATAGTCTGTTTAGGCTGTAGTGGGGTAGTTCTTATAGGGTACAACACTGTTAGGTTTTCTACTTGTACCCACCTGCTTTCTAGTTCATTCATTCGCTCATATTCTAACATGGTATTCTGAGCAGGTTCCCTAGTGGGAACGTTTTTTTTTTAAGGGCCCACCACAATTTTTTTTTCCTGCCCTGCCCGAAGCGCGCATCGCGCCCTGCCCGTCGTGGCCCCTTTGTCGCCCGTCACGGCCCCTGCTGGACGCGACCCCTACTGCCTGTCGCGGCCCCTATTGCCGTCGTCACCACACCTGCCGTCGCAGCCCCTACTGCCGACGCGGCCCCTACTGCCGTCGCGGCCCCTGCTGGCGCGGCCCCCTGCTGGCAGGGCCCCTGCTGATGCGGCCCCCTGCTGACGCGGCCCTTGCTGACGCGGCCCCCTGCTGATGCGGCCCCCTGCTGGCGCGGCCCCTGCTGACGCGGCCCCCTGCTGTCGCGGCCCCCCTGCCGTCGCCACCCCTACTGGCGCGGCCCCTGCTGTCACGGCCCGGCCCTGCTGACGCGGCCCCTGCTGATGCGGCCCCCTGCTGACGCGGCCTCTGCTGGCGAGGCCCCTGCTGGCGCGGCCCCTGCTGATGCGGCCCCTGCTGACGCGGCCCCTGCTGATGCGGCCCCCTGCTGACACGGCCCCCTGCTGGCGCAGCCCTTGCTGACGCCGCCCCTCCCCCCCCTGCTGACGCGGCCACTGCTGGCGCGGCCCCTGCTGGCGCGGCCCCTGCTGACGCGGCCCCACTGCTGACGCAGCCCCCCTGCTGTCGCGGCCCCCCTGCCGTCGCCACCCCTACTGGCGCGGCCCCTGCTGTCACGGCCCGGCCCTGCTGACGCGGCCCCCTGCTGGCGCGGCCCCTGCTAGTCGCGGCCCCTGCTGATGCGGCCCTTGCTGTCGCACCCCCAGCTGTCGCGGCCCCTGCTGTCACGGCCCAGCCCTACACCCGCCCCTGGTAAGCACCCGCGCCGCCCTGCTGCGCCACGCCGCCAGTTCCCGAGCCGCGCTGCCCAGCCGAGCCGCGCCGCCCAGCCGAGCCGCGCCACCCAGCCGAGCCGCGCCGCCCACTGAGCCGCGCCGCTCTGCCGAGCCGCGCCGCCCTACCGAGCCGCACTGCCCTGCCATGCCCTACTGCCTCTGCTGCTACTGCTGCTACTGCTGCTACTACTGCTACTGCTGCTACTACTTCTACTGCAGCTACTGCTCCTACTGCTGCTATGGCTAGCCCTACTGTTCTCACCTTTGATGCTGAGGGGCGTGCAGTTGACTTTGACGTGTGGGTTGACGACCTACAGCTCTTTCTTAAGTGTGACTCTAGGGATGGGGTATCCCTTTTCGATCACACGTCCGGTGTCTCTACTGCTCCTGCTGCCACTGCTGACAGTACGGTTCGCTCGCAGTGAACCACTCGTGACGCTGTTGCTCGTCTTGCTGTTCGTAGTCACCTGCCGCCTGCTGAGCGCGCGCATTTTGGCCAGTACAAGACTGCTCAGTCTTTGTACGACGCTGTAGTTGCGCGCTCCTCCTCCCCTGCCACTGCTGCCCTCAGCCGCCTCATGCTGCCGTACCTTTTCCCTGACCTTGCCGCCTTTGCCACAGTCGCTGACCTCGTTGCTCACCTCCGCACCTGTGACGCCCGCTACCGCGCTGCCCTTCCCACTGAGTTCTGTGCGAAGAACCCCCCCCCGCATGTACATCACCCTTTACTACCTAGTCACCCGCCTCCCTGACTCCCTTTCTTCAGTCAGGGACCACTTTCTCTCCCTTTGCCCCACCGAGCTGACTGTCGCCTGCTAGAGGAGCGCCTTGCTGCAGCTGAGAAGAGTATCTTAGCTGTAGGTGCTTCTCGCGGCGACCGTCGCACCCCTTTCTTTGAGGGGTGTTCCCCTGTCCCCCTTCTCCCCTCTGTTGCTTCTGCTGCTGCTGTCGACCTCGTTGGCACTGAGGAGGTCGGAGCTGCGTCTGCCCCTAGTGGGAGACACCGCAACAGCAAGGGCAAGGGGAGCAAGGGTGGTGGAGGGGACAGCGGGGGCGGCGGCGGAGGCGGTGGAGGAGGCGGAGGGAGTGGCGGTGGAGGTGGGGGTGGTGCCGGCAGTGGGGGCTTCAGTGGCGGCGGTGGAGGTGGTGGAGGCAGCGGCGGAGAAGGTGGAGGCAGCGGCAGCGGTGGTGGAGGCGGCGGCAGCGGTGGCGGAGGTGGCGGTGGCAGTGGTGCTGGTCGAGGTGCAGCCGCGCAGCGTGGAGGCTTTGGTGGTAGCCAGCGCCAGCAGCAGCCGCGTTCCCGTGAGACCCCGTCGGCCCAGCAGCTTCGTGAGTGGTACGCTGGGCGTGGGAGGTCTGGGGGTGCTGGTCCCTGCACTTACGTTCTTCGCACCGGCAGTCGTCGTGGGGAAACGTGTGGGCTGCCACACACTGCGCAGCGCTGCTTTGGTCGCCTGACTGACGCCTGGCGTGCCCAGTTTCCTGACGCTGTTGAGCTCCCTCGTTGGGGTGATCTGCTTAGGCAGAATGTGGCTATCTTTGATCTTGATTTCGATGGTATACTTGCTGCCATGTATGCTTTGACTGATAGTGCTGAGGGTGACTGTTACCTGAGTTTCCCGCCCGACCCGGGCATTGAGGCTGCTGCTCTAGGTGCTAGTGCGTCTGCTGCTCTAGGTACTGGTGAGTCTGCTGCTCCAGGTACTGGTGAGTCTGCTCTCTCTAGTACTGCACCTACTGAGGCCTTGCACACTTTCACACTTGATTCTGGTGCTTCGCGCTCTTTCTTTAGAGACAGCACCACGCTCACGCCGCTTAGTCAGCCTGTCGCAGTCTCCCTGGCTGACCCCTCTGGAGGCCCAGTCCTTGCGCACTCTTCCACGGTTCTACCGTGTCCTGCGGCCCCGTCGGGCTTGCTGTCGGGACTCCACCTCCCCTCGTTCTCTACGAACCTGGTGAGTGGAGCTGACCTCCAGGACGCGTGGGTTGACCAGTTCACCCCTGGAGGTCAGCGTGAGACCCACTGCACTTGCTCTCGGACGGGCCGCCACCTGGCCACGTTCACCCGTCGGCCTGGGTCGAGTCTCTACACATTGACTACTGCGCCCCCTCCGGTCTCTGCGTCTGGTCGGGTAGCCGCGTCTAGTCAGGTCTTTGCTGCTGCGTCCAGGTCTAATCCTGCGTCTGCCCCCTGCTCGTGTCGTCCTCTGACGCACGAGACTCTCCTGTGGCACCACCGCCTTGGTCACCCCTCCCTGCCTCGTCTTCGAGGTATGGCCTCCCGTACCCTTGTCTCGAGTCTCCCCCGATGCCTTCCTCCCCTTCCTCCGGGGCCTGCCCCCACCTATATTCCTTGTGTCGAGGGCCGGCAGCGCGCCGCTCCTCACTCCTCCTCGTTCCCTCCGACCGAGGCTCCCCTGCAGACTCTTCACATGGACGTGTGGGGCCCAGCCCGCGTCCGTGGACAGGGTCACGAGCGTTACTTCCTGCTGGTAGTTGACGACTATTCGCGTTACACCTCAGTCTTCCCCTTGCGCAGAAAGGGTGACGTCACTAAGGTGTTGATCGACTGGATCTGCGGTGCCCGTCGCCAGCTCAGCGATAGTTTCGGCCCGGACCTTCCTGTTCTGCGTCTGCACTCAGACAGAGGTGGTGAGTTTTCCTCCGACCTCCTGAGGGGCTTCTGTCGTGCGGAGGGCATCCGCCCGACGTTCACGCTTTCGGCCTCCCCACAACAAAATGGGATTGCTGAGCGCCGCATTGGCATGGTCATGGACGTTGCTCGTACGTCCATGATCCATGCGGTTGCTCCCCATTTTCTATGACTGTTCGCGGTTCAGTACTCTGCGCATCAGATCAACCTTCAGCTTCGTGTCTCCTTGCCGGAGACCACACCTACTCTGAGGTGGACGGGGAAGGTTGGCGATGCGTCTGCGTTCCGTGTCTGGGGATCTCGAGCTTTTGTCCGCGATACTTCAGCGGACAAGCTGTCCTCCCGTGCCGTTCCCTGTGTCTTCCTTGGCGTCCCCCCTGACGCACCTGGGTGGCAGTTTTACCACCCCACCTCGCGTCGTGTTCTGTCCTCTCAGGACGTCATGTTTGACAAGTCGGTGTCTTACTACCATCTCTTTCCCTACCGCACTGCCTCTCTCCCCCCCCCGCCACTCTTCCCAGCACCAGGTACTCCTCCGGTAGACCCCCTCCCCCCTCAGGGTCCTGCCCCCTCAGGTGTGTCTCAGGTAGACCCTGCTGAGCCGGTCGAGGTAGCTGTCGACTCAGGTGCTGCTCGAGGTGCTGAGCCTTTGGGTGCGGGGACTGGGGGTGCGGAGCCTGGGGGTGCAGGGCCTGGAGGTGCTGAGCCTGAGCGTGTGGAGCCTGGGGGTGTTGTGTCTGGGGGTGCTGAGTCAGGAGGTTCTCCGGGTGTCCCGTTGCGGCGGGAGCCCCTCTGTCCGCAGCGGCTTTGTGAGTGGTACCGTCGACGCTGTCGCCGTACTACTGGTGCTGCTGTTGCTGGAGCTGCTGGAGCTGCTGGAGGTGCTGCTGGTGTTGGAGCTACTGGAGGTGCTGCTGGTTCTGGTGCTGCTGGAGGTGCTGCTGGTGCTGGAGCTACTGGAGGTGTTGCTGGTTCTGGAGCAGCTGGAGTTGCTGCTGGTGCTGGTGCTGCTGGAGGTGCTGCTGGTGCTGGAGCCGCTGGTCCTGGAGGTGCTCGTCCTGGAGGTACTGAAGCTACTGGGGCTGGTGGTACTGCAGGCATTGGAGCTGCAGGTACTGAGGCTGGTGGTGCTGCGGGAGTTGTTACTGGAGACCCTGGAGCTGAGGGTACTGGTGCTTTCTCTAC